TGTTACAACAAACAGTAAATGTAACAACAAGTAGTACTGTTACAACAAACAGTAAATGTAACAACAAGTAGTACTGTTACAACAAACAGTAAATGTAACAACATGTAGTACTGTTACAACAAACAGTAAATGTAAATGTAACAACAAGTAGTACTGTTACAACAAACAGTAAATGTAACAACAAACAGTAAATGTAACAACAAGTAGTACTGTTACAACAAACAGTAAATGTAACAACAAGTAGTACTGTTACAACAAACAGTAAATGTAACAACAAGTAGTACTGTTACAACAAACAGTAAATGTAACAACAAGTAGTACTGTTACAACAAACAGTAAATGTAACAACAAGTAGTACTGTTACAACAAACAGTAAATGTAACAACAAGTAGTACTGTTACAACAAACAGTAAATGTAACAACAAGTAGTACTGTTACAACAAACAGTAAATGTAACAACAAGTAGTACTGTTACAACAAACAGTAAATGTAACAACAAGTAGTACTGTTACAACAAACAGTAAATGTAACAACAAGTAGTACTGTTACAACAAACAGTAAATGTAACAACAAGTAGTACTGTTACAACAAACAGTAAATGTAACAACAAGTAGTACTGTTACAACAAACAGTAAATGTAACAACAAGTAGTACTGTTACAACAAACAGTAAATGTAACAACAAGTAGTACTGTTACAACAAACAGTAAATGTAACAACAAGTAGTACTGTTACAACAAACAGTAAAACTAATGTAACAACAAGTAGTACTGTTACAACACACAGTAAATGTAACAGTAGTAATAAATGTAACAACAAGTAGTAACAACAAGTAGTACTGTTACAACAAACAGTAAATGTAACAACAAGTAGTACTGTTACAACAAACAGTAAATGTAACAACATGTAGTACTGTTACAACAAACAGTAAATGTAACAACAAGTAGTACTGTTACAACAAACAGTAAATGTAACAACAAGTAGTACTGTTACAACAAACAGTAAATGTAACAACAAGTAGTACTGTTACAACAAACAGTAAATGTAACAACAAGTAGTACTGTTACAACAAACAGTAAATGTAACAACAAACAGTAAATGTAACAACAAACAGTAAATGTAACAACAGGTATTACTGTTACAACAAAAGGAAGACCATGGGATTGGAAAGTAGTACTTTGATAAGTATTGTAAAAATATGACATTGTTTTAAAATAGCAATTTCTAAAAAATTAACACTATTAAGATGAAAACATTGTTGTAACAAAATGTTACAATGTTATAAAAAGAGACTGTAATAAAAAAAATTAACACCGGTATAAAAATCATCACAACAGTCAAAACATTAACACCTTTTTTTTAAAAAATCAATATTGTTGTTAAGAGTTGGTAAAAAAGTAACACTGCTTTAGTATTTGATGACAAATTATCACGTAGTAGTTTTAGATACCGTTTGAACGTGAAAGAGATCATCCTACAGATGTTCTTAGAAAAGCGAAAAAGAATCTTAATCTTTAATATATTTTATTTTGAAAATGAATTTTGATATCACAATTCAGAAATGACTGTTTTGTCACGACGCCATTGGGATGTAAGGGAAAAAATAGAAGAAGAACAAGAACAACAACAACAATGACAACAAAAACAACAACAGCAACAGCAACAACAACAATGACGACAACAACATCAAACTGACGTTGTCTGATAGGTAATATCACGCCTTCCTTCGGTGCAAGTTTATAATGTAATTTGAAACAATTCATTAATTTGACATAGATGTTATCACCTTTACAGGACGGGATGTATAACCAATTCGGTACTTCATGTCCTGTAATTACTCCGAGAACGAGAGCGCGTGCTGTGAAGACTTTACCAAGACAGTTCAGGGTTATAAGTGTGTGAGCCGGCAGAACTAACCACAGGACTCTCACATTCACGTACATTAAGATAAATGGCGATAATGTTCCGAAAGTCACTTGCCAAGCTATCTTATCTAACTCGCCCATGTTTTTATCCTACACCGCTATACCTCAAGCTCTGCAACAGACAGAACAGTTTCACAAAAGAAAATCTCGGTATACGCGATCATACCTATTTAGTTGGCTTTTTGCAGTAGATCTAGCATCAGTTGGACAAATTAGTCACACCTATCTCCGAGATTCTCATAATCAGCCAATCAAACGCCAATTTAAAGGTTAGAGGTTATCATAAAGACCCCTGCGTGAAATCGTCAAGAGATTGTAGAGACGAAGTTAACTTGACAAATACAAAGCCCAGACCCCCAAAAAGTCGGTCCCCCCGCTCGCCACACACGCAGTTCGGCTTTGATGGGGGGTTTTATCCTCTCTCGCTGGGCAGACATAGATATATGAGTATTTAAAAGCTACGGATTTAAAGATTATGATCAAATTCATAGAGAGAAAAAGATAGAAATGGAGGCAGTAAAATGGCTTTGAACTTGAAAGAGGTATTGATTGATGGTAACTAGCGGTAACAATCTATAAGTCTCTGTATCCTTGGAGGCGAAGCGAAAACCTCACAGGAAGGAGGAGGGCGGGGTGTAAAACGACTGGTGAGGGACCAGAGCGGTCAGGTCACGTCGAATCTTCACAGTTTCAAATAAATCATTCTTGTTTTTTAATTGAAAATTCGCAATGCCCGACTAGGTCTTTAAATTTTTGGAACCTATGTCCTTAGTTATCAACGAAGAAGATGACATATGTACAATGTGAGAACATAGATTCCTCGGAGGTTAAAATATAGGCCGGAAATCTCGGTAAACTTAACAACTCTTAATGTGATATCTTTTGTCAAATAACTTTCAAAAACGCTTTGTTTATTTGTTCATTTAATCCAGACTATAACATATTAGAAAAGAAACAAAAGGATGTGTATGAGATTTAATCTAATTATTTAAAATCATAGCGTAATGACAAAAATATACAGGAGATTACCTCATATTTCTTTTTGAAATGCAGCTGTACATATATAGAAATAATATCTGTTATTCTAATAAAATAATGTTATTATTATTATAATTTGTTCTTGTATATTTATTTTGCATATTTACGTAATCATTACGTCTTTAATTATATAGATATCATCATCTGATAACAGCTATATTTTTTTCCTTTCTTTGTTGCAAAAACATAATTTGACGAAATTCTCTACAATAATTAATTTTCGTGGTTATGTTTTGGTTATCGATTGGGTACTCTAGATCAACTAATTTAATTAAAGATAAAATGGCAAAATTAGTAAAACTAGATTTCTTGGGCATTATTAACTCACGAAATCAAGCTCCCATGATAAATATATTTCTTAATCACGAAAATTGGACTCCACGAAAATATAGTAAGTATAATCTGGTCCCCATAAGTATGTGTTATACATTTAAAGGGGCGTAGATATTAGATCTGGGAGAGATTGGAGTGAGGTAGACTAAGCTGTGGGCTGATGGAAAGGGCAGAGAAAAGAAGAAATAAATGACTGAAGCAAATTAAGGAATTAGTGATCTGATATTAAAGTTAATAGCTCTAAACCTACAGTACCAAACTCAGAAAATAACATTCAATAATCGGAAATAAATTGACTCTTCCTGGCCTTGACAAATTATACAGAATATAGTAATAACAATAATTCTTTCCGGACTCCTCTGAAATTTTTTCCTAAAATGTCCATGGTGGTCTCACATGTTCTGAATAATACAAGGTCATAAGTCACACTTTCTATTACTGTCTATAATTATCACAATATATTAAAGTGCTAATAGTTCAATATTTTCTAAAAAAAAATTTTATGAATAGTAGGTTGTCCCATTCGGGTGTCATATTTTCCTAAAGATAAAAAATCATTATCATTTTGTATAATACTTGAAATATTCATTTCTAATCAAAAACATTAAAACTTACCTTTGAAAGGAAAATTATCTCGAAGATGACAGTTGAAGTGGAAATTTAACTATTTCCATTTGTTGGCGTATCTTTCTACTTCATTCACTGTATTTTTCCCTTAAACGGTTATCGTTAAAACCAAAGATATTTATTTAAAAAAATGGGGAGTCAGCTATACACAGCATATTCCGAAACAATATTTATAGATAAAGTATTATTTTATTCAATGCACTTTATTGTATCAATGTTTATCAAAACATCGCATCAATATTATCCGGAGTGTTTACAGAACCAAGCGTTGTATCAAGGTGATTTATGTAATATCACATACGAGCACTTTTTTTATATAGAAGGACAGTCTTTTTTTTCTAAATAGAAATTCGTAAACGAAGGGACAAACTGTACATATTTATCTTGTATTTTCTTTTAAACGTTAATGAAATAAGGTTTGCTTGCAGTACATAAACATGCAAGAAAAGTGTGTCAAACAGCCATTCAGAACTTGGACATATTTGAAATATAAAGAATTGGAAACTATTTCAGCAGGAATGAGAGGACTTACAACATTATACAGTAAATAGCCTTTTCAAACTGTGAGACACAGTTATTTTGTTTATTTTCTCCTATTCATTCTCAGAATTAATGTTTCATACCAGACATAAAAAAAACAGTTATCAGTTCAAATAGTAAGCTTCACCATTCTGATTGTTTCGAGGGCGCCCCCTTTACATGACAAACTTAGGCCAAACTCTCCACCAGAAGCAGGCGGCTATTGAGAGGAGGGGTCGAATTTCCTTGCTGCTGGTCGTGGGGGAGAGAAAGTCTTACCCGTTATCTGTGATAATGACTCCGATTAGCACCTCCCCTGCCGGCAGCTCTTGTCCAATCAGATACCACCTTTTCAAACCACCACCACTAAGCAATTTGCTGCGCTAATTTGCCGGTATATTATGCATAAAATGCGAAATACATGTCATGGTTAATCAAACGGACGGCGTGCATACGTATGATAGAGCTATCAGGCCAACCGTATATCTATCTGACACCAATCTAAAACAGATAGGCCTATCTCACCACCGAGGCTGCAAGGCAAGAAACCCGTACATCTACGTAAACCAGTCATATGTTGTGTTATATCTGCTGTTTGGTATAAAGATGACATTTTAGTTCTGAAGAAATTTCAACAGTTGTACGGTGAGAAGCTGGGGGGATTCTATCCTCTCTCGCGTTTTACTGGCAAGTTTACACAAGTCGTATACAAAATAATAAACATGGATGCAGCAGAGGTAAAGGACATTACCGAACTCAGAGGAGTTCTTCACTGTCAGGAGGACGGATTCGTCCCCAAGAAGGAGCCATGTTCTGTCAGCGAGGAAAACGATTCGGACGACGAATCCGATGATATACCCACGACGACGACATCGTCGATGAGTCCCGACTCTCCTTCGTCCACACAAAAAGGTGTGAAGAAACCAGGTGTCGGAGTGAGGCGACAGGAAAAACCACCATATTCATACATCGCACTCATTGTAATGGCGGTACAAGCGTCGCCAAACAAACGTTGTACTCTCAGTGAAATTTATCAGTTCTTACAACAAAGGTTTCCGTTTTTCAGAGGTGCTTATCAAGGATGGAAGAATTCCGTCCGACATAACTTGTCGCTTAATGAGTGTTTTATCAAACTTCCTAAAGGTCTCGGTAGACCAGGTAAGGGACACTACTGGACCATTGATCCGGCTGCAGAGTTCATGTTCGAGGAAGGATCCTTTAGGAGACGACCAAGGGGATTCCGAAGAAAGTGTCAGGCGCTAAAGCCTTTCGGAATGTTGGGAGTTAATAGTATGGGAGGCAATCCTGCTATTATGGGGACACATTATGACATTTTTCATCAAAATGCAAATATGGCGTCGATGGCAGCGATGCAGACGTGTTCCGTCGCTGCGACGACACCGAATTATGACACAAGTGGGATGATGAGTCCTCAAAATGGCGGAAGTCTGCAGCATCATGCAAGTTATCCATCAATACCACAACATAATATGTCGTCCAACGTCAACTGTGGAGGATTCAACGTCAACATGGCCGTCAACGTAAGCGGTCGATACGGACCGAGTTGTGCGATGGCTGGAATGGACAGTACGGACTATAGTGCTACGGCCAATTTGACCAATGCTATGTACGATCGTGACCACTCCATGCAGGGTGTCCTTCCACCTACCTCTTGGTCCTCGCAGCGTTACATCAAACAGCCCCTTAGCCCCGCTGGAAGTACCGGATCCGTCCCTAGTATGTCCCCTTCCTCTTCCGGTGACCATTCGCCCTATGGTCACGTTCCAACCGCGTCGACGGAGCCCATGGATCTGGCGTTAGCAGGTAAGTTGTCTCTTAATACAAACGTTCTTCTTAAATTACCTGCATTGAGTTTAACGCACATTTCGTCTACCCCAGATTTACGTTATTATTATTATTATCTTTAATCATTCGAAATTATGGCTCAAATTCTGAGCAAAATATAATGGCGTATTATGAAGAAAGTTATTCTTTCGTATATCTAATGCAAATACAAATGTTTGTAATTAATTCCCAACATATATTTCATTTTCCAATATATTCGTATAACAAATATGAATGATATCATTACACGTGTACATCAACATTAAAATCATTATAAGAAATTGCCAGATTTATAATTTTCCATTAAAATGCGCAGAAGTGTTTATACAAAAATACCATGAACTATAAACATCATTAGAGATATTCAATCAGGTTTTATATTTTTCAGAGACTGAAAAATAAGAAACTTAAAATATTTCAAACGCAAAGTAACATTCGACTTTGAATTTTTAGATAGCAAAATCTAACAAATAATTTATCTGAGATCAACACAGAAATCATTTATTCATTTCTTACAATTTTGTTGCTGTTATCGCAGAAACTCGAGAGTACTTAGCCGACAGGCATCACTGTTTTTACTTCAATACTACAAAAATTTTGAATGTAATTCATTTTAAAGATTAAAGTGGTGCTCACAGAAGAGAGACAGGGAGAAAAAAGAACTCCGATTTAGCGCTGTCTCCGTGATAACATAACCTTTGGCATGAAGTGTCATCAATTTGATGGAAGCACGTGTGCTGATGTATTAAAAAAGATACATATCGATAACGAAATTTGGAAAACGATATTTTAATGAGGTTGCCTTATGGCAAGATGGACGAAAATATTCTCGTGCCACTATGAATAAAAGCCGGACGTCGGATATTCCGAATACAAACGTTGGGTGGACTACGATCTGTCAACATGACGCTAATCATTTCGGAGTACCTCACAAAAAATAATACAATGGTCGTTTTCATTCGGGAGCCTTTCTCCGCCTGGTTTTTGGTATCCTTCATCAGAGAGCTCCCTACCACAGGCATGTGATTCAAACGCATGTAACATTAATCACAATTTCCTACTTATCAATCGTGTTCCACATTTCTCCCTTTTCTGCTCCAATTAAATGTGGTGCTAGTCTCAGAGAAACTCGCTGGCAGCATTTAGACCTATGTAGAAAATTAACTATGACATTTTAACTTGAGGAACAAACGGTGTTTGATTCTGCAAGGCAAGCAGTAGGGACTCTGGTAATGCTTGAACCGCGGTCCCAGTAGGTTAGTGGGGAATGGAGTCCGAACTATTATCAGAACTTCTTTTCAAAAATAATTATCCGTCAGAAATGTGATATATTCTTTGGGGGAAAATAAGCTCTAACTGGACAGTATAAATGACCGGAACTAGATCAATTTTCACTGATCATGTACATTGATTTTAACTTTAATAGCAAACTATCCCGTTTTGATATTTATTCAACCGTAAAATACAGCGAAATTGAAAAACAAATGATGCATAAATTAGATATATTTATAGTATCGGTAATACACCAGTAATTATATTATCTATCACGAGACAAATGTTGATATGTTATGTCAACAACATTGACAAACTGCAATAATTGATTTTTCTAAAAAAAAAAAAAAAAATACGTTACCTACTGTTACATGAGGCTAAAAACACGTTTTTTCAATTTTTCAATTCTTACTTTGAAGTTCTTTTCTTAAAAAATAACTCCTTAACGTGTCATATACACGTAGTTTATCACCAGTCAAACCCGTGGACAGCAGATGCTAAAAATCTCCGCCATCTAATCCTAGCTATAGGGCAACGGGGCATGGGAATCACACCCAACTCCAACTTTCACAGGATTTGGATCTGATTGTGTCATATCATACAATTTATAGATTCTGAATTAATTCGTGCATGCTATGACGTATATCCGTGAGTGTCCGCCATGCGAGCTCCCCCTCCCCACAAGACGTGGCTGTTATTACCGCCTCATCTCAGACAGAACAGGACGTTAATGGTCTTGTAAAAACCTCCCCTTGTCGAGTTGATAAAACCAAACGTAATTCCGGAATTTAGAACACACAGGTTTTCTGTTTAAAAACTACGAACTTTTTTTTATACATACGAAATTCCTTCTAAAGAATAAATGAAGTTGTCTTCATAATTTAGGGAGTTTTTTGTCAGCTCGTAGGCGGTACAGTATAACTTGGGCCTGTTCAGTGCTAATTGCCCTGACGAGGTCCTCGCTCCCACATAAACAAACATTGGTAGGGTTTTGAACGTCGATAATGATCAGTATTTATAAATATGATGATATACACGTAAATAAAAACTTTGGAAACATGTTTAGGATCATTGACTCTATTCTAAAGTATAAAAGTCTCGCAGAAGAACCCCAAGATTCGTTAATTGTCCCACAAATGCATTTAACTGATAAATAATTTTTGACTTTGATAATGCGTCAGTATGTTTCGGCAAATAAAATTAACTTCTGAGTCTGAAAATATAGATGTTTTTCATTGTAATAAAATCATTTTAAAAATTTACCTTAAGGACTTTCGATTTCAATTTCATGTAAAACAAATTACAAAATAAGGAAAAATAGAGAAATGTGAATATAGAATTAAGCTTCCGGTTTTGAATTTCTCTAATTAAGATAACTATTTATTTATTTATTTATTTATTTATTTATCAAACCCGTCACTTATTACACGACACGTATTGATAAAGATCCACACCTATATAACAGACAAAAATATATTGAAATATCAACAAATGTCTGTTTATATCTAATTCAAATATTCTGTCGCAGAAAAATGTTATCTATTTTCGATCAATTCTTATATCCATCAGAAAAGTCTCCTGTTTTGACGTAATTGCAATAATTACACATTATTCAACATAACATTATACACAAACAAACGATAAAGAAACAGGAATTTGCCTCTCTGTTGTGAAGTCTTTTTTCTACAATAACTTTCATAGCCTAAGTTGAAATTCTCAAATATGTATGATATTACCTGGATATAGTAATATGTCAAAAAATAAAAGTTTTGTTGGTCAGCCTACAATACTGAAAACGAAACACGGATATATCGTCAAACTACATGTACTGGTATATGACATATTGATAAACACGCTGTATCTGTAGTACTCCACTGTACACAAATTATCAGTCTGAAATGACCTATAAGTCGGGAGACATTCTCTCTTTCTCGATTAAAATGGACGATTCAAAAGTTGTGACGAATTTGTGTGCATCTTTATGTATAATGAGATATGACAACCAAATTCCGTAATAAATATGCTAGGTATTCCTTTTTGATTGAAGTAAGAAGTAAATGTGAGAGACATCTTAAGTTAATTTTGTTGGTGTCTTTATCTGTGGTCATAAAAATACCGACACGTATTCGACATTTACATAAAAACTTATCTCGGTAAGTTATGTGTTGGAGAGTATAAAATTGTATATGAAATCAATGTTTCAAGTCAGAATAATCTTTAATATTAGTCTGACAATTGTTTGTTTTCTCATCATCCATTTAAACACAGGAAATGCTGTGAGAAAATACTGTTAGCGTCCAGTTAACTTTTAGCTGAAGTACATAAACCAGTTCCAGATGAAACTGACATACATTGAATTTAGCATCTAGTTATTATTTTTAATTCTGGTGAAATGTTAAATATTCTTAAGGAGAAATAATTATGACTTTCATGTTTAAAATGTCCTGACGATTATACAATTTATATCGTACATCAGACAAACAAACATACACATTCATTTTAATCAGATGAAGTGATGCACTCGTGAGCTATTTCATTTACATATTTAATTAAATATTTTTCATCTTTTCTGGTGTGCCTATAGTTTTGTTAAATATAACATAGGTAATAAAAATGTTAAAAACTCATCTAATTCAATCTTTACATTTTTTCTGATCTCTAAGATCTATAGATAGAGTTCCAGCAGGATATTAGGTTGAATAATTGGAAGTTCTCTAAATAGCGTTCCAGCAGTATTCTATGTTGAATAACTTGAAGTTCTCTAAATAGTGTTCCATAAGGATGTTAGATTGAATAATTGGAAGTTCTCTAAATAGCGTTCCATAAGGATGTTAGATTGAATAATTGGAAGTTCTCTAAATAGCGTTCCCGCTAAAATTTAAGTTGAATAATTGGAAGCGGCAAAGCTATAGCTCGATATAACATATGTATGACAACGAGTGGCTCTATATTCGATACATATAGGACGTCAGGCATCAATAAACTTAACTATATACTGATCTGGGGACCCGGGACAGATCATCTAAAACTTAACAATATTCTTATCCATCTGATCTGGGGACCCGGGACAGTTCATATAAAACTTTACAATATTCTTATCCGTCTGATATGGGGACCCGGGACAGATCATATAAAACTTTACAATATTCTTATCCGTCTGATATGGGGACCCGGGACAGATCATATAAAACTTTACAATATTCTTATCCGTCTGATATGGGGATCCGGGACAGATCATATAAAACTTTACAATATTCTTATCCGTCTGATATGGGGATCCGGGACAGATCATATAAAACTTTACAATATTCTTATCCATCTGATCTGGGGACCCAGGGATAGATGTTACAAAACTTTACGATATTTTCATACGTCTGATCTGGCAACCCAGTGACAGACACTGATTTGTAATAAAAATGGCGTCAACCCGTCCTATTCATTTTCCTTCCTTTTTTCTTTAATTTTTTCAGAAAGTGAAGATTGATGTTAACGATTGTGTATAGAATATATTTAAAAATTAAACATACATGAACAATTTAGTCGGAGATAGGCCCGACTGATAGAAATACTGGTGATTGCATGTAACCCTGTTTTGATAGAAAGGTTTCGTTACGTTTTAAATTGTCTCCCCTGATTAGACAAAAAGACAAGTAGACGTGCTCTATAGTAGGGCTATGTTGCTTGTAAAATGTTGGTAATTTATCAGC